ACTCTTTCCACAGCCCTGTTAGAAACTCACCACTATTTCACTCCTTGTAATTCTTCAAGATGAGACAGGGAGTGATGGCAGAAATTCAGAGGGGAGATAGAAGGACACTGAAGGGACAATTGGCAGCATGATCAACTGCACACATGTTTTGCCACATCTTTTCTTTACAATGGGCTGAGGCACAACATGAGATGACCCTGTATTCCTCACGCTAATTTGGCTCATTATTAAAGGAACTAGTTGGAGAAGGACTGCTGCTGATGGTTTGTACCAGTCCAGTGGATGCTTGCTGATGCCCTCTCCAAACTCTTCCCTCCTGAGCGTGTGTCTTTCCCTCTATATTCCAAGCACATCACTACATCTGCATGTACAACAAAGCAGGGAGTACAGTTAGGCCTACAGCCTTTTGTCACTATACAGATGCCAAAAAATTGGAACCTGCTGCCAAAGCCTTTTATGTGGAAAAGCACCGCTACAGCAAATCCATTCTTGTCAGGCCAAGAGTGCAATCACAGCAGAAAAAAGCCCCTGACAGATGCAGACACAACTGTCAGATGAGCTGTATGAGACAGGAAAGTCAGTGATGCTTATTAGAACCTGGATCTTTAACTTAACTGAAGGACAAGCCAGAGTCAGAAAATTCAGCTCCAGATCCAGATTTCAGAAGCGCATAGATTGATTGGGGTTCCTTCCTTTGTGCTTCAGGTACCTCTTCCCAGGTGGTATTTGTAAACACTGTGTTCAATATTCTCCTTCAAGAATCTCTAGAAAGCCACACAGAGACATATGTAAGGGGAATTTCAGCTGAGTTACTGTCCTGTTTTTGCACCCTTGGGAAGGGAGAGTCAGGAGAAAACACACTCGAGACTACAATACAAATACCACAACATACATTTATACTGGTGAGACAAAGAAAGAAAGAAAGATGCTGCCTGGCTTATTTTCTTCAAATCTTCCCAAGCATTTGATATTGTGAATCACTGCACACATCAAATAAATACAGTGGCAAAGAATAAGGACAGAACTTTGGTAAACTCTCTGGCCTAGTTAGCTCAGTCTGAGAATCAGTGTTCCCTCAGCCCCAGAGGCACAGCTGGTACTCCTTTGCAGAGCCTGTAATCTCTACAGTGCTGGTCTACAAGGTGTTCACTGTGCCCAGAGCTTTTAGGCAACTCCAGAAACTTCCAGAAATGAAGCTATATGTGTAGCTAAGCCTGATATGTGTGTCTTTACTCCACATTTGCACAGCACCCAGCACAACGAGCCCCTGCTGCACAATCATGGGTCACAAAGGTTTTGACTGATAAGTAAACATGATTATTTGTGCCCTCATATTATTTCATATTGTTTTTGCCAAGAGACAGTCAGCTAATCCATTGCTGCCTGTATTCCACAGTGAGGTAAGTAAAATACTGCCTCTGCCATCCACTTAGTCTATTCAGCTTCACAGTATATATAGAAAATAAATTTTCTCTTCTTACTGCTTCAAAGTGTCTAGGGATGTAACAGTAATCATTAAAGCCTGGAGCTTCAGAACAAATATCATTTTATGGAAGGGCAGAACACTCTAGCTTAAAGCAAATCTTTCCTGCACTCTATTTCCCCTTTCAAGTCAGGCAGTCCATCACCCCATATAATGGGCCTGAGCAAATACTAGTGCATTCTCACTCTGCTGAATGGCATCAGAACAATGTAGTTAGAACTTTCACCCTGCAAAATCCTGAAGCAATGGATTAGCACTAAAATATGGCACTAGGTATGAGCTACACTCTGCATTCGTTCAACCACTTCTGTTCTGGGATGGAACAATCACCCCCCTCAGCCAGGAGTAACAGCTAGAAAAAATGGACATGAAAAATACCAGACCAGTTGCACTTGAAGGATTATGGAAGTGGTTGTTGAGGCTTTGGTTTAATATAGCTGCCAGGATGGGATAAATGGCAGTAAAAGCTGTTAGAACAACTCAGCAAAGAGGTTCATCCTCATGTTCAGGTAGAGTTTCCTGTGTTGCAGTTTGTGCCCGTTGCCTCTTGTCCTGTCGCTGGGCACCACGGAGAAGAGCCTGGCCCCAGCCTCTTGACATCCTCCCTTGAGATACTTGTACACATTGATCAGATCCCCCCTCAGTCTTCTCTTCTCCACGCTAAACAGGCCCAGCTCTCTCAGCCTTTCCTCATAGGAGAGATGCTCCAGTCCCCAGGGCTAAGTAGAGGGGGAGGATCACCTCCCTCGACCTGTGGCGACACTCTTCCTAGTGCACCCCAGGATACCATTGGCCCTCCTGGCCACAAGAGCTCATGCTAGCTCACGTGTATTCAGCACAGTAGGCTTCCCAGTCGCTGTCTTGCTGACATACCTGCATTTCCATGAGGGGCAGTCTCTGTGGTCCATTCAGTCCCTGTTTCACAGGGAATACAGACATGCTGCCAGTGCTGAAATGGCCCCTTGGTTGACCAGATATCCAGCCTTACCAGAGCACTGAAAGAAGCATAGCATTCATCACTCACTCTGACTTTTTCCAATCCTCTCCAACACTAAACCTAGGTACCTATGACCCTCAGAGAACCAGACACTGTCCCTCACAGGCACAAACTCTTAGCCCACCTCTGGAGGACTTGTCATATCCAGCAGTCACTTTAGGGCTTCAGGTCTTCCTGCCAGGAACCCTAAAACTGACCTAATACCTCAGCCAGATTTAGCCCCAGGCAAACACCACGACCACAACAGCACAACAGAACTGAGAGTGAGCTCTTTACTGATTAACAACCATCAGGCATTACCAGACAAGCACATTTCAGATCAGCAGCTGGAAGGGAAGGGATGGAGAGTTCAGTTTTCATATATGCAGCCAGCACAGCAACCAGGCTCAAAAACAGCTAAGGGAGCACATGCACCACTGCAGACTATGGGAAAATGGGATTGCTAAGCATGGGAAGAATATGTGAAGTAGGAAGGTGGTGGTTCCCAAACATCAGAGTCAGTGACTTACAGAACCCTTTGCAAGAGGTTAGAAACACAGGCAGCCCAACAGTAGGGAAAACCACAGTTGCTTCCTCTTGGCTGGGTGCTTCACTAAAGGCTGCTGTTCCCAAGGAGACCTCACTGAGCCAAAGTCAGCAGCTGCTTCCACTGCTGCTTAGTCCTTATGCAAATGTATACTGTATCTCGGGCGAGGCAGAGCAGGTTGTCAAGACTGGAAACAATGCTGCTAAGTGCAATGTGCTCTGGGAGGAGTCTCCATTTTTTTCCACCAGGACTGAACATTGCCTCTTCTATACCATCAAGGACTTCATATGTTTTCTGCCTTTCCTTCACCTCTTTTCTGTGTTTCCCTCACCATGGGCAGAGTCCTACCTACTTACAGATAAAATTGTGGCTCATGAACAGATCTGTCTCCCTTCCTCTCACTTCTAGGCTCTACACTGCCTTCATCTGTAAAGACTCAGGATGGTGATGCTGGGATGTGACAGTGGAGAGGGATGGGGTGGCAGAAGAAGGTGCTGGGTAGAACAGGGACACTGCAAACTCACACCCAGGCCTTGACTTGAGTGTTCTGTTCCTTGGCATAGCCACACAGGCCTCCCTCCTCACACCACTGCCACTTCACCCCCTTGTACACAGCCCTGCTGTATGGCTGGAAGCACATGAAGAGGCGGAGGCACCTTGCCAGGCTGCAGTAGATGGCCACGGCCACCACAATGAGAGGGGACATGATGATGAAGCCAAGAACAATGAGGGCAGAAGAGCTGTTGTCGTCCAAGACAGTTTTGCAGTAGTGGGCAGCTGAGTGCAGCACCTGTGGGAAGAGAGAGACAGAGGGAGATAGAGTTTGTCATACACCTTGTGCTGGTGAGGAGTGGTGACCAAAATATTCTTGAGTTTCTAGTGTTTTCACAGCAAGCCAGACCTCCTGCCTTCTCTGAGCTGAGCTCAGCAATCTTCAGGCTATACTATGTGACTGACAACATATTTTAATTTGGGTTTTTATCTCTCAGGCATCATTGTGAGATAAGAGCACTGCATGCTTATCCTGGAGCAGGAAATGTTAATCTGTGTTAAGTCATCTATAAATCTCTTCATTACAAGCCAGAACTTAGCACTGTTTTTCAGAGTTGTGCTTTGAGCAGACAGCAGCTCAATGTCATTTTGATTGAAGTTTGACTCATTTTATAACATCAACAGTGGAACTATGCTGAAAACCTGGAGTCCTCAGCTACTCCAGTGGTCACAGTCCTCTGGCGCTTTGCCTCCTTGAAGAGCACAGAATAGTTGCAGCCATTAACCTATTAAAGTCAATGGCTTCTTTCCAGGGTGACATGTTTTTTAGCCCTCTTTCTCCTCAAAGAGATTTAGTTCTGAGGATGGATTTCAGCTGAGAGTTTTGCCAGACCATGGGCAGCCATAATCATGCCAAGTAACATGGGGTGTTCACTGTTAAGGGACTCAGCTCTATGACCCAGATTATGATTTGATGTTACACATAGTTTGGGATATGTTTCCTACATGAGTTGGCTTCATCCCACATACATGTACACATACACCCTCCATTCACAGGGATCATGCAAAACCAGTCAAGCTGTCAGATGTCCAAAAAAAAAATTTTTACTTGCTTAAGCTGTGGTCAGGCTAGAAGAACTGTGATCAGGAACTTGCATATAATGATCTAATTAAACCTTTAATTTGGCAAGTGTTACAGCCTAAAAGGTGCTTTATCTTATCAGCCTTTGAAATGCATACATCTTTCTACTTCTAAACATTCAATAACTATGCACATGCAAAAAAAAAAAACCCAACAAAGAGATCATTGTATGTGCAGCTTTGAAAAAATATAAAAGCAGAAGTATTTATGATCAGTTCCACAAGCCACATAGAGGGAAGTGAATCTATGTCACCATTATAAATCCTGGTGACTTTGCTTCTGGAACAGGGTCTATTAAAATAAAAATAACTGACAGTTATTACTCCAACTCACACAGCCTTCCAACCTCACCATAGGGCAACCTGATCTCTTCAACACATCCTTAATATTCTCTACCAGAGTGCATTCAGGTAATCACATTGGACTGGCACATCAGGAGTCATAGGAAGCAGGGGTTGCATATACACAACTGGATAATCTCATATCAAAGTCCAAACCCTCACCCGATTGATAAACCTTCTACCCCTAGCCTTTTCTGATCAAATCCAGGATGTCTAAGGAGATCGTTAGCCTCCAGAGAACCTGTCTCAATGTAACAAAGGCCTCACAAACATCCTCCTTTTATTCATTCAGAAGGGAATTAATCCAACAGCTGTGGCACTCAGTAAATATCCTGCTAAGGATGACAGCAGTGAAACGCTCTGTGGTTCACAGCAGGAGGCTGATTTCCTCTGCCTCAGAGGGCTGCTAGGGAGATCTGCCTCATCCTAATGAGCAGAAAGGACATGCGCAAGAAGGTCTTTAAATGGCCAACAAGGATAGAAACAATTCTCTAACATCTGCAAGTTGCTGATGAGAGCTGCTTTCAAGGCACTTCCTTCAGTGCTGACTCTCAGAGCACAATGCTATGGTTGGGATCAGACTGTTGAGACTGTGTGGGAGAGCAAATTGGTACTTGGAATGCACAACAGCTAATTAGGGCTTTCTACTGAACTCATTTGCATGTGACAAATTGCTTGCAGTAAATAGGAGTGGCAAGGCAGCCAGAGAAGAGTTGAGCTCACTCTACTTCAAGCCTGTTGAACTAGAGGAACATTTAGAACTGAAATCTGTTCTTGGGGCAGAGACCAGTTCCCATCCTGTTAGCTCCCTGGGAATTATTACAGCAGCCTGGGGCTGCCATTAACTGTGGCCTCTTCCACTGCTAAGCCTATGCAGTCAGGATTGTCTGGCCTGCTTAGCGTGCCTTTTCTTTGGAGAGGTGCTGCTTTCAACACTACTCAAGAGATTCTGAAGGTGGTAAGAGCTCTAAACAATCTCAGCCTAGAAAAGGTGGTAAGAGCTCTAAACAATCTCAGCCTAGAATAGGACCTCCAGGTCTGTAATTATGGAGGCTTCCCAGCTAAATACAGCTACAGTGGGAAGAATCAGGTATCTCCAGACAGCCATAAGAGCCAAAAGGGTGTATTGATACAGCCTTTTACCATAAGTGCGGAAGGGCCTTATGGAAGGGTGCAACATATATGAAGTTCTATCTTTTTGACAAGCACCTAAAGGAAATTCAGGAAAAAGATGAAGAATAACCTCACTGCCACAGGAAAACCACTGTTTCAAGTGAAACTCCTCCATGTTTACAAGGCAAATAACTGTTTTACCAAAGAAAACGTTCTGTGGCCAGTCCCAAGTGCTGTTCTGCAAGGACAAGGTCTGACAAAGCTGGTGTTGTTCTCCTGGTTTTTAAGCTACTGATATCTTTGAATGCCCAGTTTAGCAGTTGAGTTCCTCTGAATGGCAGACAAAACAGCAACAGCAACAAAGCCAAATGGAGAGCTGTAAGAAAGAGATTCTTAACAACGACCTCTGGCAACAGATGGATTACAGCCATCAGCAGGCCTGGGTGCAGCCACTCAGGCAGATCAGTATGCTTCTACCACCAGTAGGCAGGGCTAAATTCCACCACCCGCCCCCAATCTTCCCACAAGGCTCCAGGGGAAGAATTTCTGTGACAGACTACTGAGGAGCAAAATTAACTACTGAGGGGTTACCTTTTCACCTAGAAAAATAAGAGAACAGTAGTGAAACTGCGACTGCTACAAACAGCAACAGACCAGGGCTGGCCTGTGAACTTTCAACATACCTATACAGGCCTCCAGACCCTCCCACATCACTCTGTTGGAGATTGCACACATTTGCATCCCACAGAGGAAAAAAACAAACCAAAAAAACCGCACACTTTCAGGAGGTGTCAGAGCCACAGTGGGAGTTGCCTGGCCGAGAGGTATCTTATTCCCATAAGAAATTCTGTTTCATGCCAGCTAACAGCAGCACTTGTGCCCTAGACAGAGATTACCATGTTAGAAATCTCCCTGTTCATTAGTTTGCAGCATCAGGGAAAGCTCTTCAATAACAGCAGTATAATTTCAGGGCTATAAAAAAATCAAAGCTAGACCTTTCAGAGCAGCATGTATATCAGGTACATAGAAAGCAATAACAGCACATTCCCTTTGTCAGGGAACTTTGAGGCAGGGGGAGCTGGCTGCTGACAATTCCTATTGCTGGAACGTTAGCCAAATAATAAAACACAGTGTCTTTATTGCAACATTACAGCACATACTTCTGCCAAAGCTATAAGCGCTTGAAGTCAACCGTATGTCTTAGCATACTGAGGCATCCCAGGGACTGGAGGCCTCAAGTGAACATAATAAGATTCAGTCTGCAGAACTAGCGGCTTTACCAGACGTACACAGCTCACAGGAAATGTCATTGGCAAAGAGTGCTACTAAAGAAGCAGTTCTCCCAAAGTTGAGTGACAGTTTCCATATCTGAGAAATGTGTGATTTGGCACTGCAATTAGGCAGAGAGGAATGCTCCATATTTACCTGTCTCTCCTTCACTGTATGTGAACCGAGTCAGATCTCCATAGTTATGTATGTGCACAGCCCCATAGAAGTCAGTAGAACTTCACTCGGTTATACCAGGCGAAGGGCTGGTCCCTGCTGCATGGCTGGATCTTTTCCTCATGCCATTTACCAACACCGGGATCTGCTCACTCAGTCAAATGCCCCAAAGGCTTGGCTGATCAGCTAAGATGTACAGCTGTTTTTAATGAAAGGAATGAGAAACTTTTTCCCTACACTATTACTCAGGTAAACACATCAGTTTGAGAAAACTCAAATCCTCCTTTGAGTTTTAGATTCTGTGGTGTGTAGAGATCAACGACATATGTTCTTTTTAGAATCCAATCCAGCAAGGAGAATGTACAACCGTTCCCCCCCCCCCCCCCAAATAGAAACCACAGGAGCATCTCTAACTTTGAATAATCAGCAAGAGAAGTCATCTGATTGTGACCTGGTCTAACAGTTACTGCCTGTAAGGCTGTAAGGTAAAGATGAGAATTGCTTTTACTGCATCTACACTGATGGATGGAATCAAATTATTCCAAAGAGAACTATGGAAACGGTTAGCAAGAAGAGGAATTACATAAGTATTTTTGAAAGAATTAAACTTGGAGGACGGCGATCAAGCGGAACAGACGTGCACACAGTCATAGCCCTTACTGACAAAGTGGGCTTGTTGGCTCTTGTAAATGAGAAACTGTACAGTGCCTTTGGGGACACAGAAGGAGCCATGGGGTTGGCATAAGAGGGGATTGTATGTGTGCTAGACTTTAGTGTTATTAAATGTTAGGCAGATCAAACATGACAATCACTGTAAGAGGGCTTACTTAAAAGGAAAGCAACAAACCCAGAGTCCATGTGGAACTTCTGTGAATTGTGGAGGAATTCAAATTGGCAGCTGTGTCTTATCTCGGTAACACAGAGATTGCAGAGAAGTTAAAGAAGTATTATGACATTAAATTGCAAACAGCAACTCTGTCAGCCTAAGGAGTGTATTTACCTGGTCTGCATCACAGCTGCTTGTTAATTTAATGGTGATACAACTTTTTTTTTTTTTTTGCCAGACCAAGCTTTCATTTCCCACTGTGCTGGAAGAAGGATAGGTAAAATGAATCCAGCTTATTCCTGCCAGTGTTCAGATGGGTCAAACTTTTTCACTGCAAGATGTGCCCCACCAGACTGGCATCTAATTCAAACTGGATGTGAGATGCTGTAATTCTGATGTGGGATCATTTTACACTTAAAATGAACAAAGTGCAGTGCACAGGCAATCAGGACCCAAGGTATCCATCCTAGCTCAATCCCTGAGAAGCTAGGCAGTCATGGGTAACTCACATCAGCATCCTCCCCGCCTCCCCAGTGAGGATAGCCTTTCTGTGCTAACCTGCTGACACTGGATGTATGAGTGCCAACCAGCTACTTGGAGACTCTTAGCATAGAAAGTATAAGGCCTGTACTTCCCTAGCCAAGGGCACGTGCCAGTCCTACTGACAGCTATGTCACAGCACCAAGCAGAGGAGACAGCTCCCTTACACACTCAAGGGTCTGTAGGTTAGCATGAACCATGATAACATCTCAAACACCTGTCCTTGTCAGCCCAGTCTATCTGTTGCATACACACCCCCAAACACACACCCTTTGTGAAAATGAAGCCAAATCTGAGGGAAATCAAGCCTTGTTTAAAGCCACTGTTCCCCATGGGCTAATATAAAAACATTGTAGATGGCAATAGCCATGCCTTAGAGGAGCAAGGCCTACTTACCCGGGAGTGGCATTGGAAGCCTAAGTAAACCACCACAATGGTGGGCAGCAGCACAATAGTGAAGATGGTAAACATTAGGAGCAAATTCATGAGAAAGACCGCAAAGTTCATGGCAACTACCATCAGGGTCCATGCCCAGCAGCACCAGGCACTCCGTGGCTCCCTGGGAAGGAGTTGGTCATCCATGTCATACGGCGGGAGGCTAGGAATCATGCGAAACTTGTCTGAAGGGTTGTCTGCTTCAAAGCCCTCAATCTCCTGGTCACACATTCTTCAGAAAGGTTGCTAATCACTCCACACTCTTCCAAAATGGTTTCTTTGCTTTTGGCCATGAACCTGTGATGTAATTTGCTGGGGTTGTTCCTGTTTCTTCAACATAGAGACAAGAACCCTTAGCCAGAGAGCATAATGGAGCAAGAAACGAAGGGCCTTATTTGGTCATCTGTTTTCCCAGGACCTGGCCAGCACAGGATGTTTCCTTGCAGAGTGTTTTCCAGTAGTGTCCTGGTATCGATTTCTGAGTAAGCGTGGCTGCTCAAAGTTTGGCATCCACTGTACTTTCAAATTTGTTTCTTCCTAGCAAGATGATCCCAAAAAGCTCCCATTAGTCACTGTCCTAGCCTTTATAGGCTGCACAGCTCCAGAGAGTGTCTAGCTTTAGCATCCTCCTCCCATCTTTGAGTGCTGCTGTTTGCTAAGAATATCAGGCTCAGGCACTTTCAGACAGTGGCTTGACTTTGCATCATCTTTTCATGCTCCTCACCCTGCACCGAAGGAAATATTCCTACGCAACTTTCATCCAATTGAAGTGGCCAGTGAAGACAATGAACAGGAGCTGCGTGTGCCCTCTCTGGAGTCCTTGGCCACACCTTGCAGAACTGGAAGCAAAGAGACTGGAGCAGTGTGCAGCTTCAGTGAACTCAACTGCCTGCAGTCACAGACGCTCGGATAAGAGCAGCGTCTTCCTTTCTGAGCTGCCTCTCACAGCTTTGCAACACTGTTCTGTTTACAGTGTAGATTCTGAAGCTGCTTTCTCTGCTAGCCAGTCCTTTACATCTGTCTCACTACCTGCTCCATTCAGCATGCAGAACCCAGGATCCACACTTTAACCATACATTCCCAGGTCAAGATGGTCCCTTTTAAATTTTAAATTATTCTGCCTATGATTCATTTTCTACAATCTTCCTCCAGATTAAAAAGCTACCCTAGAATAATTGCTAATCACCGTACCTTCAATTTAAGGATATCAATATGCTCTGCAAACAGTAACAGCAGTGACTGCAGAGAATAGAGGGTTTCTGTCTGCCTCACTTGATAAATATTATGCAAGAAGCCTTGTGATAGCTGGATATTTATATGACCTTTTAAATACATTCACTTATGCATGATGATAACACTTCCAGGAGGAGGGAAACTTTCTTGTTTAACTCTGTGGGAAAATGAGGTAATACAGGTCTCACCAAGATGTACAGCTCATCTATGGCACAAGACAGGAAAGAATCCAGGAGCCCTATGTTCCACTTGATGCTAACTCTTTCAGAAAATGCTGCCCTGGAAAAAGCATTTAGAAAAAAGTTATGACAAAGAAACAAAGTTCACAAAAGGCTAAACAAAGTCATTTTACAATACAGATGAGTGCTAGATTTCCCCCATGAAATGCTTTTGTTAAAAATTGTACATTTTGGGGGGGGCCTTCCCACTCCATTAGAGTTTTTGGCTCATTTATCTGCCTTGTCCTGTTCACTGACTGTGGTAATATGCACAGTAGGATTAAAGCTAAGATTTTCTGCAATGACCTAGATAGGCCTGCTAATGGAGCTTTTTACTAATAGCCAATTAGAAGAGCTCTACCAGACAATGGAAAGTCAGGGCTGGTGAGCCTCTGGGTTGAAATTTCACTCAGCTGCATCTCTGATACAGACCGTGGCCAGCAACAGCGGCTGTGCCCCTAATGAAACCATGCCTCCAGGAGGAGGTGATGAGAGCAACACACACGTGATACCCAGACAATATACTCACTTGTGGGAGCTAGACCGTTACTGACTTCTGGTATTGCTCTTAGAGTTAGGCTGCATTGTGCCAAGCACTACATAAACTCACAATAGCAGTCTCTTCCACTTCACTGAGTTTCCAGTATAAGTAGACACAGTAACAAAGTTCACAGGGTATTATTCAAGTATTATCCAAGTTTTGGAAATGGGGAACAGCAGCACACAAAGGATAAAGAGCTCCCCCCAAGCTTGTTCCAAAGCTAAAATTTGGTTGTAAATTTCCTAGTTGCAGACCACTGTTTCAATCAGAAGATGAACCTTCTGGCTACAAAGGCTTGTATTTTAAAGTCTTTTTAGGATGATCTTCCACTTTCTGCAGTCAGGAGAATGACTCATTTCTGTAGTTGAAATCCCTCCTGTGTTCTGTAACACCAAGCACTGAGTCCAGACAGGAGCCCTGATTTCAGTGTTACCATAATAGAGTTAATATGACTTCCATTTTATGTCTCCTAAATTTGGCAAGATGATTATTTTTGATCACTGTTTCTCTTGCTAATGCTACTGACAATGGATGATTCAGAGCCTTGTGTTCTGCATCTCAGGTAGAACAGCTAACTGCTGATTAGTCCCTACAATGCACACAAGGATGCTTCTGTGTTGACTACATACAGCAGATTTTGCCCAAATGACTCTGCAATTATTCTGCTGTTGTAGCATTTCCTCTCTTTGAGGACTTGGTCTCCCTCTCAGTCTTTTTCTGCTAGATAAGTTGTGGGGAGTGTGTTCTGATATTACCATCCAGCTGGGGAACAGAATCAGTTAGTGCATCTCTACTATTTTCACATCAAGCAGCCCTGCAATTAAGCTGTTGTGAGCAATTCTCTTCACCATGTAAGGGGAGTAGCAGATGGGGCTGGAGATGGATACTGACAAAGGGGAAGATTTCTTCTCCGCAGCAGAGGACAGATTAAGTTCTGCCTTACAGGGGCTGGAATAAAAAGGCAGAAGAGATTAAGGACTCAAAGTCCTTAATGATCTGAAAGCACATCAGGTAACAGGTGTATGCAATACATTTGCCCTATTTGAACTCAATGAGTATATTCAGGAAATTTTCCATACTCTGTTCTCTTGCTACTTAGTACTTTCTCTCCCTGGCCTGGGGGAAAGGGAGAGGGTATAGGGAGGAGGTGGGAAAGTGCTAGTCTACTTGTGTAAAGAAAGCATTGAGGTACACTGAAATCATTTATAGTCTGCCACATGTAATCAGTAGTGAAACAGAGGCTTTAAAATTGAAGTAAGCTGAAGATCTATATGAGAAAATTGATACAGATTTCAAAGGTATAAGTGAGGAATAACAGTGAGAAAGAAGCTTTTCAAGAAAAATAACTAGTTTTTAAAGAGAGCTAGCTCAGTGTTCATACTGCAATATTCAAGATTCTCCTGCAATTCCTCTGGCTGTGAAACTCATTAGCTGATCCACACTTACCATTTCATTCTCTTTATATGGCTCTTCCTGTAGAAGACTCTCTTTAGGAATAAAGAAGGATCTCACAAGTTTTGGCTCCATTAGTATCCAGCAACAAAGAGATTCCACTGTCTAATCTGTTCCAGAGAGCAGATAAATAGAGTGTAGCATTCTTACTAACAGCACCGATCACTCATAACTATTCATGGCACTTTGTTCTGTGCTTACCACTGAAAGATCTCTAAGCTCATCAGAAACATGGAAAGCTTTAACCACAGGAGGCCCCTGGAAGTTCGGTAATAATTATACCCTTGCCAGGGGGCAGCAAGGCCTGGCTTGTCCCTGAGGGATGGGGAGCCAAACACAATGACATGGCCAAAAGAGCAAGGGCCTCACTGACCAGGACCCTATTCCACAGTACCCAAGCAACATGAGCAGGGTAGACTTGGAAATGGGAGCTATGTTCAGCAAGGAGTCCAGATCATCAGGCAAGCTCATGATAACAAGGCCAGTCCAAATCCAGCTGGGCACTCAGCCTTCAGATCAGGGTCCAAATCAACAGCATTCATAGCCTGGCATAGCTGCAACACAGCAGCAGCTACTAGATAGCTCAGGCACAGACTGAGTGCCCAAACCAGAGCTTAAATAGGTCTCCTGGGCCCCAAGAAAGAGCGTGTGAGTGGAGGCCCCACCTGAGGCTTGCCAGGGCAGTAAAGCCTATTGGTGCTCTCAGGGCCCTGATACCCCAGGGAAAGGATTGTGCTGGAAAGGGAAGCATTGCTTGTGGTCATGAAGTGAATACAAGTCTCTTCTTCTCCAGCCCCTGGTCCATCAGAAGCTTTTACCTCCTTTCAAGAACCAAACCAGGAGAACTGATCAGAAGTCCTTTATTAATTTGCTGGAAACCCACATGTTAATGCTACTGTCCATTCTATAGAAAACATCTCTCCTTCACAGCCCAGTGTCAATCAGCTCCCCTGGAAACCAGACTACAGACTTGTTTTTACTGTGCTGAAAGGCAAATTGAGGTGTGGGAGGAGATATGTAAATATATAATTACAGTATAGCAATCTGCATATATGCCTAGGAAAGTTACAGTGACAGATTAGTCTTCTGCAATTCTTAAAATTAATGGCTTTGCTGTGGAGCTAATCATGCATATGAATCGAGGATGTTAACATTCAAGAGTGCAAACTTGACTCCTCAGAGCGTTAGACTTGCAGTTCTGCCACCATCCCACTTTGAGTTCCAAAGGATCTTTTCAGGCCAAATTATGGAAAAGATGATAGAAGGTTTATTGATTTTTTTTTCATCTGAATATTTATGCAAAGTTGTAGATTCTTCATGATGTTTCAGAAAGGAAAAAATGAAAATGGGAGCAGGTATGTCCAGTAGAACCCTGTTTATTTACAAAGCTGCACAAAAATCATCTTTTTCCCTAAATATGATAGGGAATAAACAACTGGAGCTAGCTTTTTGCAAACAAGGCTAGCCCCTTTCTAGCAAACACTCTGTCCAAAAGTACTCTTTCTTCAGAAGCTCTGTTCTCAGGTCTTGTTTTGAATGTGTCCTTTTCACTTCTTCCCTGAAGCCTATTTTCATTTGAATGTCTTCTACATCTCCCAAGGACACAACAGCTGAACAACAGCTAGCAAAAGTGCCTTGCCTCTCATGCCCTTTATTTGCCTCTGTTTTGAGTGAGGGCTATTATGGTTTCACCTAACTTAACTGTATCTTACGTTCATCCCAAATGGAAAGTGGTGGCTATCGCCCCTGCTTGGGTGGGGTGAATATGCTTCACTGTTTGGCGGGACCTTCCTGACTAGAGGGCAAAGCCTCTCACCCCAAAGGAGCAATAGCGGAAGGTGGTGGCATCACCCAGGAGCAAGAGAAACACGCTTTCCACCCAAAGCAGAGGGAAGGTGCATTGTTCCGTGCTGAGGGCTGGGGCTAATGATTTAAACTAGCTTTCTCTCAAGTCATTGCATCCTCTACGCCTAGTGCAGAAGGTGACACTGAACTCAATTCATCTGTTTTGTTTGTTATTGTTTAGTCTTTCTGTTGAGTTCTCTCACAGCAAAGGAAAAAAAAATTGTTGACGCGTCAGCTGAGGGGAAGGGGGTTAAAAATAGATTCTCAGACTGACAGCAGCCTGTATCATGATTCATTCCAGATGGTATATATTGGTAAATAAGAGAAAGCATTAACTTCTAGCACTAGATTAAAGACAACATTGTCTGCACAGAACTCAGCTTCCCTTGAATCATCAAGGTGGGGAAAATAAGGCAGAAACTGAGAAAGTACTCTCCTCTGCGCAGCAAGCACCAGAGTTCTCGGGACCAGACTGACCAGAGAGATGAAGCTCATGGCCTACAGCCAGCCTGCCAGCCAAAAGGGGAGTCCTGGACCATCTG